CAGTGTTGTTATAATTCAAATGTGTCAAAGCATAACCTATATCCAGCAAAATGCACAAAGCATAAAGGGTAGCTGGATAAATTTCCACACCCGTGTGAACACACCCACGTAACCAATGCCTGTAGAGACAGACCATTAGAACACCCCGGAGACCTCTCTAATCCTGCTAGTCAACACACCCATGGGTCCTGACTCGTAAACGCACAAATTAGCTTGGCTGGTTTGGAGAGTCACAGAAATGGAATCCTGCTCACAGTCCTGTGTCCTGCTTTTTATTGTTCAGCCTTATGTTTGTGAGATTCGTCAATGTCGTCGTGTGTCCTCATGGCTCACCACATGGTGTGATCATCAAGCCTGCGTGTGGCCGAGTAGACAGAGCCGTGGTTCTCTCTGTGGTTCCAGCTTCAGGGATGGCAGTTGTTTAACCCGCTTCCTTTGGTTCTGCCTTGGGGCAGTTGGAGAAAAGTGGGTCACCCTCTTACCAAAGCCCTCGCCCCTCTCTCCCCCCTGCCCCCTGCTCCTTTTGCTCTTCTCTGGAGCTGCAGCCTGCAGAAAAGCTGAACCCTGGTTCCGATGTGCTCTGGCTGGTCTTCATCACCGATGGAATCCGGGCGATAGGATTGTTCTGCTAAATGGGGCTTTGCAGGCAGGGGTGAGTGGAGACGAGGTCACTGGCTCCTGGTATGCTCTCCCCGCACTGGGATATTCATAGCCAAGGGGCAAGGGGGTCCACTTGCTTCAGTTCTGCAGTGAGCAGGGGTCAGCAGGTTTCCAGGTTTTGCCAGCTGTTCCCACTTCTGCCCCTGTCTATGCTGGGACAGTAAGAAAACATATAGGACAGAGATCTGGGACAGGACGCCTCCCCCATCCGGTGGAGATTAGGGCGGCACCTCCTTACACTTTATATGTGTGCTCCTGGAACGGTGCCCCACACCTGGTAAGGGCAGGCTCTGGCAGACTTGTGGTCTAACCCAAACTCTGCCACGTGCCTGCTGTGTCACCCTGGTCAGGTCTAACCTCTCTCAGCCCCAGGCCGCCCCCACCCCGCCCCCCCATAGGAACAGTAGCATCTTCTTCACCGGGTGGTTGTGAAATTAACCAAGGTAAAACCCAGGGCCGCCCAGTAGGAGCTCAGCCAGTGGTAACTGTTATTAATAGAATTTGCTCTCCTGCGCCAGAGCGCCTCCTGCTCCCTCCCAGCCTCCACCTGGAGAATTGCTGGCTGGTGGCCTAACTGTCTCATCAGGTGTTTTCCTGAGTGTTACCAGGGCAGTCAAAACACAGGGGCTGGCTGATGAGTCTCAAGAAACAGGCTCGATAGGGGACATTGCTGATGGAGCAAAAATAAGGGGGTTTCTAAATTCATATGGATTTTCAGAGAAAGGAAAGGACTCCCAACCCTTATATCTAATGACCCAGCAATTTCACTTCTGGAAATCTCTTGTAAACAGTCAAACAATAGAAAAAGACCCAGAAATGACAAAAATGATGGGATTTGTAGATAAAGTCATTGCAAGTTATAACTGTAGTCCCCCCGATCTATGGAGGTTACATCCCAAGACCCCAGGGGATGCCTGAAACTGTAGAGAGACTGAATCCTGAATGTACTAGGTTCTTCCCCACGCACACACAACTGTGATAACATTTAAATTATAATCTCAGTACAGCCAGGCACAGTGGCTCACGCCTGTAATCCCAGCACTGTGGGAGGCTGAGGTGGGAGGATTGCTTGAGCTCAGGAGTTTGAGGCTTGTCTGAGCAAGAGTGAGATCCTGACTCATGCAAAAAACTGAAAAACCCAGGTGGGCCCTGTGGTGAGTGCCTGTAATCCCAGTGGCTTCAGAGGCTGAGGCAGCAGGATACCCACAGCCCAAGTCTGAGGTTGCAGTGAGCTACGACGCCATTGCACTCTGCTCAGGGCATAGGGTAGAACCCTGTATCAACAACAACAACAAAAAATAGAAAAAAACAAGGAAACTCAGTACGATAAGAGATTGACAACAACTAATAATAATAGAACCATCAATAACAATGCACCACGCGTACCTATCAGTACAGTAGGCCTAGTTCCTTATGTTGACCACTTCCACGGGTTGACCAGTTTGTTACAGTCCCTTGGGTGGTCAACTTACAGAGGTGCAACTGTATCTTAGAGTACCCTATACCACAGGTAACTGAATCTTCAGAACTCAAGAAACAGATTACAGATAAGGGCGACTACCATCTATTCTGTATGTTTAAGAAGATAAAAGAAAACTTGAACATATTAAGTAGAGGCATGGAAGAAATTTTTTAAAAATCTAGGTCAAATGTATAGAGAGAAAAAAATACCCTGACATAGAAAGTACAGTGGGTAGGATTAACAGCAGGTCAATATGGAAGAAAAGGTTAGTAGTTTATTTACAAGCAGTCAGGATAAGGATGAGTGGTGATGATGGGAGTAACCACAGCTGAATTTATGGGTATTGATCTCTAGTCATGGACTGAGCCCTGTTCACATAGCA